AAAAAAAAAAAAAAAAGAAGAAGAAGTTGCAAAAGCAATAAAAGTGAGGACTTCTCCCAAAAGGCGAGAAGTGGGAAATGATTAGATGGTTGTTGTCTTGATTTGTAGCCTGGTTGATTTGAGTTTGTAAGTCCGTTGGGGTGTCTTAACACCTAATGCCCTAAAGCCATCTGGTTTGGGAGTCATTGACCTAAAGCTCGCTACATCAATCTTCTAGAAAGCTTAAGAGATCAACACATTACACAATACTTCCATCTTTGATCCTCAATAAAAAAAATAAAATAAAAAAATAAAAAAAATAAAGTGAAAAGAATAAGCGCACCTAGAAAAATAAAGCTTTAATAAAAGGTCCACTCTCTTATCTTGATGATCGGTGCTAGATTTGTGTGCTACTTTGAGGGTAAGGATGTGATTACTTCTCTAGTTAGCTAAGATAGCAACACACTTGATGCCGGACCTCTCACATGGATTCTAGACTTGTTTCGATTTTCATGATCATTTTCTTGATGTGTGGAGGACCATGCTTGCTTGTTTGATGTTGAGATTTTGGGAGATTGCTTGGAAATGGTTGAAAAATTGCATACTTGAGGTAGTTTTCTCCCAATGCTTGTTTGCAATATTAGTGCCTCTTTTGAAAGAATGAGCTTAATGTTTGTGGGTACCATTTCTGGAAACCCTCACGAGACTTTACTCTTCCACTAGGGGTAACCTAGGGGTTTAAAAGGCTTGTTGCATATGCTAAATGCAATCGTGTTCCCTACGAAAGTGGCGCTATCATTTTACTTGCTTTCCAGTTTATACTTGTTTAGTTGTTCATTTCATTCCTTTACTTCTTAGTTCATTGCTAGGGACTAGCAATATTTAAGTTTGGGGGTGTGATGAGCACTGAAAAGTGCGCATTTAAACCCGTTAAGCTTAAGCATTCTAGTACCTTTATCTATCTTACTTTGCCGTTTTAGACTTATTACGTGTTATTTATATTTTCAGGCACTAATCCCAAAATTGAGCTAACTCAGCCAAATAAGAGCTTAATTGAAGCAATCCTGAGGTAAACCAAAAGAGGGAGCAAAGTGGAGAAAGAAAGGAGCAAAAAGGAATCAAAGTTGTGCAGCTGAAAAGTTCGATCGATCCAACTTCGAGTTCGATCGATCGAACATCTATGATCGATCACAGTACTTCTCGATAGATCCAACCTTGGCCTTTGCTGAAATTCCAAGTTCGATCGATCCAACATCACCTTCGATCGATCGAACCCTATTTTGTCCTATTCAAATGATTGATCTTATCCACAGCTGTACGCCTACCAACCACTTTTGTCCAAAAACAAGGGTCGACCCTTGATCGAACATGTAAATTGTTGGATGGAGGTGGGCGAGACAGCCGCCTTAGGACCCGACATTGTACTCGAGACCACCGAGAAGATTAAATTGATCTGACAGAGATTGCTCACAGCTCAGAGCTGATAGAAGAGCTATGCAAATAGACGGCGACGATCGTTAACTTTTGAGGTGGGAGACCATGTTTTTTTGCGGGTTTCTCCATGGAAATGATTGATGAGATTTGGAAAAAGTGGCAAGTTGTCGCCACGGTTCATTGGACCATTTGAGATTTTGGACCGCGTGGGAGAGGTGGCCTATAGACTTGCATTGCCACCACAGATGGACAGGGTTCACAATGTTTTTCATGTGTCGATACTGCGAAAGTATGAACCAGATCCATCTCACATTTTGGATTGGGTTGATGTAGATGTCGATGAAGATGTCTCCTATAAAGAGGGACCAGTGCAGATCCTTGACACATGACAAAATGTGTTAAGGGGTAAGATAATATCGCTAGTGAAAGTTCTTTGGTGACACCATGGAGTCGAGGAAGCTACTTGGGAGCTTGAGCAAGAGGTTCGCTCCAAGTATCCGATGTTGTTTTCTTCCTCAGGTATGGCCTGATTTCGGAGACGAAATCCTTTTAAGTTGGGGAGATTATGATGTTTCTAATTTTCAACATTTTTCTTTTCCGGACTTCCGTTGATGCAAGGGTATTTTCGTGATTTCACGTTTTGCGTACGGGATTGTGGTTGGGTCCAATTGCATTTTGTGCATTTTAATTTATATGATCATGTGGTGTTTACTTAGTGGTGCATGTATTTTAATGTGTGGTGCAAATTGAGACAAAAGATAAAGAGAAAAGAAATAAAATTTGTGGGACCCTTCACTATAGTTAAAGTGGTCTAGAGACCACAATTCTGCCTTCTCATTTCTCTCTCCTTTAGCTTCATTCTCTCTCTCATTTTCCTTTTTTCCTTCATTTCATTTGAGAAACAAACTTTGGATCTTGATTTCTCCTTCAATCTTTGGAGATTTTGACTGTCGTTTGAGGCAAAATGGAGAGCACGACGAGCTCTACACGTTCATACCAACAATTCCAACTTTGAGCCTCCCTAGGGAATTTGAAATTAGGGACCAATTTTAAGGGTTTTGCATCAACTTGAGGTAGGGGCTTCCTAATCCGCATATTCTTGCACTTTTGTGAGTCAAATTACTTGAATTGTGACTTAGCATGCTTATTTGTGCTAATTGTAGTTTGAAATGATTTAATTGTGTATATATGGATATGTGAGGACATGTATTAAATGTGTTATGTGGAAAGCATGCTTATATGATGAATTTATATGCTTATTATGTTGTTTATATGCTATATATGATGGATGAAGGCATGCTTTGTTGTGTCATGTGAGAATCCTTTATTATTAAAACATTAAAAGTATGAGACATGCATGTAAGTCATTGGGTTTCATGATGGGTAATGTTTTGGATAAAGTAAAAAGGGGATTTCCGGGAGAAAATTGTTTTGAATCGGTTTTGAGAAACCCGGTTGCCGAGGGGGTACCAAAGGGCCGGAGTGTTAATATAGCCTAGAGGGAACTAGGGTGTCACCCTAGCGTGATTGAGCTAGCTGGGCCCCATAAAGACGCCGCGAGGGTACCAAGGGTCAGGGACACTAGCCAATCCTTTTCTCGTGTCGCTGCGGGGTCACCAAAGGGCGGGTTATATTAACAGTTTGAAAGTGATGATTTTAAATGTGAAAAAAAAATGAGGAGCGACATCGGCATGCATTGCATCCCCATTGCATTATATTATTTATGTTGAGATTGGAAACCATGTTGTAAATTTCCCGACATTGTATGACCCCATTTTCCATGGTTCTATTATTTGTTTTGGATTCACGGGGACTTAAGAGGTGCGTCTTAGGCACCACTTACTGAGCAAATTGCTCACCCCACCATATTTAAATTCTTTTTAGGTCACGGCAAGGAGTTGGCGGATGATAATCCACCTCATGCTTGAGAGCACCTAGGAAGCATTTTCGATGTATTTTTGTAGAGCTTGACTTATTTTGTAAAGATGTGTTACTTTTGCAACATGTAAAATATTGGGATTTATCATGTATATGGCCAGTGGGGTAATGTAATTGAGTGTACCAACATTTAATCCTTCTGTGTATTTAAGTGACATGTGGCAAATTATGTTAACAATGTGGTTTTTGTTATTATAGTACGTGTTAAAATGTATTTAAATTTGTATGTGAGTGTTATGGCGTGGGTGGTTAATTATCAATTGTTGGTGTATATTAGTTCTCATTGGACAGTGGGGAGTTGAGTGAGGAATTACCAGAACCAGTCGACGTATAGTTCCATACGTCGACTGAATAACCTGAACCAGTCGACGTGTAGCATCCCACACGTCGACCGGTATCCTGTCAAGTCTTTTCACTGTACATGTTCCAAACCAGTCGACGTGTAGCTTCCCACACGTCGACCGGTATCATAGCAGTGAGCTATGTCACTATTCATAACCCAAACCAGTTATCGTGTAATGAGCACACGTCGACTGGTTCTTCCACCTATAAAAATTTTCTTTGGTTTCCCTAATTACACTTTGACACTCAATTGATGTTGCGAGTAATTATTTTATGACCCAATAAAATTTAATAATTATATTTTAACCACATAAAAGACTATATTAACCAGGAACCTTATCTTAATTATTTTATACTGCGAGTTATTGACCATTATACCCTTGGAGTCTTAAACCAATGGAATTGTGACAAATGACCGTTTCGTCCTTGATGGACTTTAATATATTAATTTAACGTGAAAGAACCGTATAACCCTTGGATGATTTTGAGTCGGGTCAGGACTTGATTAATGATTCGGATCCAGTGGATCTGGGTCGTTACATTATATATACAATTATAATATTATATATAATATATACCATTAAATATTAGTTATACTATATTTGCATTTTCAATCAACCTTCAAACCCACATGAATATGAGTCGTCTTTGAAATTTACCTGCTATTATTATTATTATTGAGAATTATATTGTGCATTCATTTATTTAATTTTTATTAAATTTTATTTTATATAGATTTGTTAAATGGAGTCATCTTCTACAAAACAGGAATAATGCCTAAATGTTTTTTTTTTTTTTTTTAAATTAGTTTTTTCTAATAAGATATTCTTATATTATAAGCTGTTAACTTACAATTTATTCCTTTCATGTGACTATTGTGGACTTGACAAGTATTGTGACATTATTCTGGAATTGTTTAGCCATACTTTTATAGACTAAACGATTTTCTATTTAATAAAAGCCTGCATTCAAAACCTTTTTCTTTTTCTTTTTCTCTAAGAAAAAAAGTCAAATAAACTGTTAAAATATTATGCAGAAAAACAATAATTAAAAAAAAAAAAAAAAATTATCAAGACTGATTGATAAAGCAGATTTTTAAATAACCTAAGGAATATTTTTAGTAATTTCTATTTCAGATCTCCTTCGGCATCTTGTGATTGGGGGATTTTTTGGGCAAAATAATAGAAAGGGGGTTTGGTGCAAAATCCAAATAGAAAGGAAGCTTTTCATGTTGTTCACCCTATGAAATAGGTAACATGCATATATATATCTATATGTGAACCACGAATATCATAGATATTTTTCCAGCCGCCTTAGACGACAATTCTTCTTATCTTTCAAACTACAGCTTCTAACACACGGCCAATCCAGCTTCTAATAAATATGTAAAATTGACAGAACTATAGATAAATGAGGTATTATGTCACAAAACATTATCGATTGATCGTCTAATTTTATTTAAACTTTCACCATCCTAACCAAAATTTAGGAGAGAAAATCATCCAAACATGTATGGTGTCCTGTTTTTGTTGCTAATTCCATTTCTTGATCTCACTCGATTCTGCACTTCCACTGACACCAAATCCCTAAACCAATCTATCAGAGACAACCATGGAGACAAATTAGTCTCTAGCGGAGAATTCTTCACGCTTGGGTTCTTCAGTCCCGGCAATTCCAACAAACGATACATCGGAATTTGGTACAATAAAGTTCAAGAACAAACTATTGTTTGTGTTGCAAATAGAGAGAATCCGATCAATGACACCTCCGGAGTTCTCTCCATTGATAAAACTGGAAACCTGGTTATACATAATGGAAATGATAGCTTCCCCCTCTGGTCGACGAATGTCTCGGTGGCAGCTCCTGCCAGCACTTGTTCAGCTCAACTTTTGGATTCAGGGAATTTGGTTTTGCTTCAGGGTGACGATGGCAAAGCATGGCAAGGCTTTGATTATCCAACAGATACTATGCTTCCTTCCATGAAAATCGGGATGAACCGGAGGACAGGTCTGAACCGGTTCCTAACAGCCTGGAAGTCACCTGATGACCCGGGAATTGGAGAGTGTTCTTACAAGATGGACCTTAGTGGGTCCCCACAAATGTTCTTGTCCAAGGGTTCTGTTCGATTATGGCGAACCGGTCCATGGAATGGGTTTAAATGGAGTGGTGTTCCGAAGATGCCATCTAATTTCATCTTTAATTTCAGTTTTATTGACAATCATGATGAGGTCTACGCCCTTCACACTTTACTTAATACCTCAATTTTCTCAAGATTGGTCGTGAACGAGTCCGGTATTGTGCAAAGGCTTACGTGGTTCGAGGGAGACTGTAGATGGGTCGAGTTCTGGTCGGCACCCAAGGATCGGTGCGATTCTTATGATACATGTGGTTCATATGGTAATTGTAACCTAAGTGACGACGAGAAGTTCAAATGTACATGCTTACCTGGTTTTGAGCCCAAGGTGGCACTTGATTGGTCCTTGAGGGATGCGTCAGGCGGGTGCGTGAGGAAGCGCGAGGGACAAGTTTGTGGAAATGGAGAGGGGTTTGTGCCGATGACACATTCTAGCATTCCCTACACATCGGTGACACGTGTGAATATGAGTTTGAGCTTGAAAGAGTGCAAGGAGGTGTGCTTAAAGAATTGTTCTTGTAGTGGTTACATGAGTGCAAACATAAGCGGAGGAGGGAGTGGGTGTGTCACTTGGCATGGTGAATTGATGGATACAAGAGTGTTTTCAAATGGGGGTCAAGATATATACATTCGAGTTGATGCAGTTGAATTAGGTATGCAATCAATCTTTCCATGCTCATATTATTTGCTATTCTTCAATTAAGATAAGGTTAAAATAATAAAAATCCACTTATACTATCTTAAAACAATCATATAAACCTTCACATTTGAAAAAAAAAAAAAAAAAAAAAAACCTACTTAAAAATTTCATTAATTTTAAAAAATCTATCATATCACCCCATTCCATTTATTTAGATATTGGACTTGATTTGGGGGTTTAAAAAGGCAGGGGTTACAAGGGCATCCTTGTCATATATTATTTTAAAAGTTGGCATATGATAGGCACGTGTTAGTGTCCGGTTACCATTTGACGGCAAACAAAAGGTTGAGGGTGATATGATAGATTTTTAAAAAGTAATGAAGTTTTTAGATATTTTTCTTAGTACATAGGATTATAAGGTTATATGACTAATTGTGAATAGTATAAGAGGGATTTATGATTTTAAATATGGAAGTCAATTTTGTCATTTCATATGTCAGTTAACAATTTGTTAGTATAAGAGGTTATCTGACTGTTTTAGAATAGTAATAGTTGATTTTAAATGAATTGGAACCTATTTCTAATTAAATTGAACTTAAAATTCATTAGTATGTTTGCACCATGATCAAGTAGTTAGAGTTTATTTATTTATTATTATTTAAAATAAATAAAATTCTTTTGTAATATCAACAGGGATAGTTTCTGTATAAAATCCCTAATGATTTCTTCTTTGCAGCTCAATATTCCAAGTCAAAAGGCAATCATGGCAAGAAGTTGAATGTGGCCATTATGGTAGTGTCAGTCGCTGTAGTATCATTTCTCATAATCTTCTTGGCATATTGGTTTGTAATGAAGAAGAGTAAAGGTAAACAGATTATTCTTCTTTGCAGCTCGGTACTGTGTAAAACGCAACAAACATACCATCAAGAGCTACAACCCATTGTTACTTTCTCACTTTTCAAAATAAAAAGTCCAATGTTCAAGACAATTAAGGGCCAATGCCTATGTGTGACTTTCTTGGCAGTACAAAATAAAATAAAATATACTTGAGCCACTTGATTGTGTTTTTGACCGATTTGGCAACGAAAACATGAAGCAGAAATCGTTGCTTAATAGGCCCCAGATCGTTTCATAGCTGGATCACTCAGTCCCTTCATTACGAATATTGAGCCTGATATATTTACTGTATAATTCATTGACAGGAAAAAGGGGAATGGGAAACTTGTCATTTAGCGAAAATGAGCTTGTTGAAAGTGAAACAAGTACAGATTTACCATTCTTTGATCTGAGCACCATTGTAGCTGCCACAGACAATTTCTCTTCTGCTAACAGGCTTGGACAAGGTGGTTTTGGCACAGTTTATAAGGTACATAATAGTTGTCTCAAAATTGCGTAGCTAGCTTCATCCAATTGTGTTTGAAGTAAAGCAAATTTAACTTTATGTTCAAGGTACGATTGGCTTCAATAGGCTGAGAGTAAACTTGTACAAAATTGTCATTATCAGAAAATTAATTTAATCAATTTCAGGGCCGGCTACATAATGGACAAGAAATAGCTGTGAAAAGACTATCAAAAAATTCGGGGCAAGGGATAAAGGAATTTAAGAATGAAGTTATGCTGATTGCGAAACTCCAGCACAGGAATCTCGTTAAACTTGTAGGATGCTGCATTCAACAAGAGGAGAAAATGGTAATCTATGAATACTTGCCAAACAAAAGCTTGGACTTGTTTATCTTTGGTACATATGTGTTTTTTCTACAACTTTCATTTGGCTCATCTTTTAGGATGCTACATTCAACAAGAGGAGAAAATGTTAATCTATATATATATGTACTTTTCAGAGTTTTTTACACATTAATTTGGCAATTTATGATGAATGATTTGACAATTTTTAATTTCATGGAATCAGATGAAGCTAAAAGGTCATCAATGGGCTGGGAAAAACTGTTTGATATCATTTTAGGAATTGCTCGAGGAATGTTATATCTTCATCAAGATTCAAGATTACGAATCATCCACAGGGATCTAAAAGCCAGCAATGTTTTACTAGATGCTGCAATGAACCCAAAAATATCAGATTTTGGAATGGCTAGAATTTTTGGAGGGGACCAAATTGAAGCAAATACCAATAGAGTGGTTGGAACATAGTAAGTAGTACATGCATTTATGTAATGAAGAGGAAGATTTACAGAATAAAACATAAGTAAAATTTTCATATGTTATGTCTGCAGTGGTTATATGTCACCCGAGTATGCAATGGAAGGATTATTTTCAATAAAATCTGATGTTTTCAGTTTTGGGGTCGTAGTATTAGAGATCATTTGTGGCAGGAAGAACAGCAGTTATAATCAAGAGAACTTTCAGAATCTAATTGGACATGTAAGTAAAATGCAAGTCATAGATTTTAGATTAATAACATACAATATTGTTGCTTAATTGTTGGCCTTCAGATTTTGTTTTGAACTGTTTCAGGTTTGGGACCTTTGGGGAAAAGGAGAATCCTTGGACATAGCTAATTCATCGTTAGGTGAGTCATATCAAACTCATCAAGTTCTAAGATGCATTCACATTGCGCTTTTGTGTGTGCAAGAACACGCCACTGATCGGCCAACCATGTCAGCAGTTGTTGTTATGTTGTGCAATGAAACTTCTCTTCCTCTACCTAAACAGCCTGCATTTATTTCTAGAAGACCCAATAATGGTCCAGACTCATCATCGGCTGATGTTGGAGCTTGTTCCATAAATGATATTACAGATACTATGGTTGAGGGTCGCTGAAAGCTTCAACTTTCACATATTGTACCTTAGTCTGCCATTACTAGTAGTACCATACATGCTGACTAACATTATATTTCCCTATGACTTTTGGACGTTAGCTCAATATCTCGAAATGTTGTGTTGTGGTATTATTTTGTTTATTAGTAACAATTTCATACAAGCATTTAGTGTATTTTTTCACAGCTGACTAGCCTCATACAAGCTAAAGTAAATTCCTGCAATTAGGGGTGGAACTAGGGTGGGCCTTATAACCCGAGCAACCCATGTCTTGCCTGAAAGGGATTTGGGTAAAGATTTTACTAACCCGATCAACCCTAGTAATTTGAAACAAGAAAAAATTATAACATATATATTTTTATGACATTATTCATACAACATATTGTTGGGCTCCTAAAAACTGTGGTCCTTTCCAAATGCGCAAAGGAGCATGAATGTCGGGCTTTCCAGGAACTATTGTCGTTCTAAAGTGAATATCCGAACAATTATCCAGTAGGAGATTGCAAGAATCAGACGATTGTATGAAGGACTGGAATTACCACATTCGGAGGTTCTTTTTGCCTTGGAAAAGAACTTCTGGACTGATCTATGGCTAGTGGAAAGGAAAATGGTATTGAAAGTGCAGGACTTCAAAGTAAGGCGTTAGAAAGTAAGAAAAATAACTGCAGGACTTAAATTAAACATATTGAAGGTGCATTACATGAATATAAAGATACATGAATGTAAAGAAATTGAAGTGCTGTTGGGCTGTGTGATTTGAACAGGATTTTCAAACTAACTCTAAGTGCTTTATTTATAGAGCTTTCCATGCATGCAACAACTTGATATGGCAACTCCAACGATTTTCACGTGGCCAGAATTTGGACTGCCAAGTGCCCCATGATCTCTTGGTAGTTGTAACTTCTTCCTTCCATCTTCTCCCTCCTCTGTCGCAAACTTCAGCCATGTTCTCTTTTAGTCTTCTATGAACTTGTGTTGTAGATAGTTTTAAAGTGAATTCCCACTTGTCCTCTTTATCAATTGACAGATGTTCCGCGTCTCTGTTCTTCTTCCTCATGTTGTCGACTTCTTTCCTTAATTTCAGACATGATTTTATCAGCTTTAGCCTTGTCATCCATGATCCTTGATAAATTCCCTCGGTTAGTGGTTGTTCCCCTATGAAATTCCACCACTTTCAACCGATATATTATTGTTTGGCCAAGTGTCCCATGATTTCTAGTAATCTTCCCCTTTTGTAGAACCTTCCTTTCATGGCGTCGTGGTCTCTGATTTTCATTAACTTCCTTATCGTGGGTAATATTTCATATATATATAATTATATATAATTGCCCACGTTTGGTAACTTCCCTTCCTTCAGACTTTCCTGTTTGATCTTGGCTTTTATGGCGTCATGGCCCTAGGATTTTAGGATTTCTTCAACGTGGGTTGTATTTCAGTGTATATATATATATCCAGAAATATACATGCCTTTCTAAACCGTTACCCACTTGCCTCTTCTTCAGCAAACACAGTTGACTTAATGAAATAAATGTTGAAGCCTCCTAAAAATAGGAGAGAATTCAGACCCACGTTCTCCTTCTTTTGACTTGGTCAACTTCAGTGCTAAGAAGCCTCGGACTTTGCCTCGTGCCAATATCGAGCACTTTACCAGTTGTTAGCGAGACCACTGCTGATTTCTGGACCCCACGTTTTGATGAACGTACATTAAGAGCTAGAGGAGATGGAGAAGCTAAAGAAGTACTTCAATCTTCCCGGCCTGAAACTATATGATAATTCAAGTTTGGAAAGAAAACGACAATTGAAAGCTTGGAAGGCACATTTGTGGTTTTGTGCAAGTCTTGAACAAAAGCAAGACAAAGGAAAAGGAAGAAAGAGAAAAGGAAAAAGGGGCGACTGACCCTTCGTGGAAGGACAAGCAATGTTTGGCCAGATGGAGGCAAATTATGTAGCCTAGAAAAGATGCTTAGGTAACATTTATAGGATAACAATGTGCAGTGATAATTAATCTATATCTATATATATATATATATATATAGTTAGAGATGCATTAGGAACAAGTGCTAAATTTAGTGGAAAAATTTGGGTTAGTAGGGCATATGTTGGTAGTTGAGCTAAATTTAGCAGAAAGATGGTGATATGTCAAGGGAGTTTTGTTCCTGATTCTATATGTATGTAGGGTTGGCACCAGTTCTTATTTTATGAGAAAGAGATTAACATGAGAAAAAGGAGTAGAGATAAAAAGATCATTATTATTGAATTCAAGAACAGAAAAGAGTGAGTGTTTGTGGGGCTCATTTGATTGGGGTATCTAACTTTTGATTTATTTATCTGTTTGGGTGTGTTAGTGGAAGCCAGAGGCCTGCTCATTGTTCATACTTATAGGATTTCCATTATTTGAAGTGCCCTTTTTTTTTCGTCATCCTATAAGCTAGATATTCACACACATTTCATTTTTTATGAAAACTTAAACCATCGATCTTTTACTTTATATTCACGAAGTATCATTGGAATGTAGTCCTAAAAGAGCTAGAATTTCTTGTATGTATATGACCAATATTGTTTGAAGTTTGAACCATGAGACATGGAATGTACATATTAAGCAGCAACTGTTACTAAAAGAAAGAAAAAACAAAATACACATTGAGCAGCAGCCATAAGAAAAGATAAATAAAAACCAATCCCTTTCTCAATATCTTAATTTAAAAGATAACTATAAAAAAATAATAATAATAATAAAAATAAAATAAAATTATGAGTATTGCAATCTCATTCGTAATTTGCAATGTCACAAATTTTTTTTTTTTTTTTTTTTGTTATCTGATAAATGATAAATTGTATAATAAAGAATCACAAGAATGAACAGGGGGGATTAAGGCTCACAAAACAGCAGAAAGCAGGCGAAAAAAAAAATAAAGCCTTGAGCCCAAACAAAAGAAGGCCCAATAAGGATACATCAAAGCCCAACCAAAGTATCTATTCCAGGAAATAGGTGCAGGAACCTTGAATGGATTCTCCTTTGACCTTGGTTGATCAGGGAACTGGCCTTAGCTTTAGCACCCAGGCATGACCCGAGAGAGAAATTTTTATATGGCTCCGGACTATATAGTGACACAATTGCGTATATGGCTACAAGCGATTTGCCGATTTGATGAGTTCGGCCTAATCGTTAGAAATTATTACATGATCTCGGGACCATTCGTCCTGACCAATCACCATATGACATCAGCAAAAACTTAACTTACACATCCTTGACGCACTTACTGATGTGTCATATGGTGATTGGCGGAACCACATAATAATTTTTCACTAACCGTTCTCCTTGGTGGTTCCTCATTTGGATCTAAAAAATCTGGGCCAACTCTGGGTCCATGAACTGTCACATAGAGGCCCATTTGGTAGCCAAAAATCAAACTATCAAGGAGGTTAGTTCACCACCATGGGCAGCTCGCTGGTACAAGCCCTCCTCTCCAAACGAGAGGTCGAATGTTCAAGTCTCAGGTAAAAGTGTGTGTTTATATATTTCATTACTCGAGTGGATGTTTAACCCTACAAAAACTAATTTATTTAATAAATAACCCTACAAAAACAAAATTATAGTAGTTCTTTCCTCCATTTGGTCAACAATGGTACAACTACAATTCTGTTGGAACTTTTCATTACGAAAAAATCAATATGTAAACATAAAGCGAAGATTAGGTTTAACACAGCATGAAATGCTAAAATTGTTATTATTTGAAACCTTTTTTCTGACTTTTGAGGGACTGATAGGTATTGTACCATAACTTCAAGCATGGCTATCGGTACCTATTGCTCTTGAGTATTTCATGGAATTTAATTTCCTACTTTTTCTGAAGTATATATGGTTTATAAAAAGGAAAGCAAATTGGCATTATTGATGATGTTAGTAAAGGTAAATATTATTATTATTATTATTATTATTATTATTATTATTATATAACGATCTTTACTTTATTACAAGACTTTGTTATTATTTAATTTGTTGATTAATCAATTGTGAATTCTGCAGTTCTCTTCTACAAGAAGCTTAGTTCCACCTCAAAATGAAGGTTTTTTTATTTTTTATTTTTATTTATTTATTTTTATTATTATTATTATTATTGTTTTTGCATATTTGAATCTGATGTTCTAAAGCCTTTAAGGAACCAAAGGTATCCTTCAAAGGTGATTGATGTTCCAATTCAGATTTTCCATTAGTAAGAATGGCAAAGCTACGAGGTCAGAGAGAAGTTGATGGCACTTATAAAATAAAAAAAAATATGGTTCCTACCTGTGCAGACATTTTTTGAAAATTGCGTGTGCACTCACAGTGTGAAGTAGATGGTATTTGCAGAGAGTGGTTGGGTCCTGATTGCTTCTATCACAGCCAATTTTCAGTCCAAAATGACCTACTCACTACTCAGTGGTGAATGTTGATTATTCATCTTTTATAGATTACTTTTATAAATTACTTATCAAATTACAAATAGATATAAAATTTGTTAAAGATAGTACGAAATAATTATTTTCAATTCATTCCACGGTCTATTGCTATTGAGAGTTAAATTCGTGCTTCATCACACATATACATTCCATTATCATCATATCACATCAATTACTGTTTGACTCTTAATTTATTTCGGGCGTATATGAGTCTTTCGGCTCAAGGGGTTGGATAGCTAAATCATCCTTGACACTGATCGAATCTGAAATTGATTATTGGTGAATCAGGCGACTGTTTCAGGTTTTTTGGCGCCTCAATGAAGAGGATTTTAAAAAAAATAAGGACTGGAATAGATGAAGAACCAACACTATCTGTACAAGCATTCATTAATCTTAAAAAAACTTAAAAAATAATAATGGAAGGAACACTTAAGTACTGGCATTCATCTTATTTTATAAGTACAAATCTTATACTAGGGTACAAGAGTTTGATTTTAATTCTAACACCAGACTACTCCTACATATAGAAGTAAATTGTAGGGAAAATACATACATGAAAGACAACTTAGACAAGTATGAAATTCTGGGACTGGAATCCTCTGCTGTAAACGGGTCGTGAGTCCAACAGACAAAGGAACCACATTAAAAAAAAAAAAAAAAATAGAAAGTAAAAAAGAAAAAGGAAAAAAGGAAAAAGGAAAATAAAATATCCTTTCTGCCGCATCCCTACCAAAAAAAAAAAACA